CTCATTTAGTCGTAACACACAGTCAGTCAAACTTGAATTTATTCTCGATTGCCACCATCTTATTTATTTTCCTAATTTATTTGTTAAACTAGCTACTCGCCCCAGCTGCGCCCGGGTGCACATGTATCATACATATAAACCTTCCTCTTGAATTCCTTCCACTATATATATAAAAAAAACCGCTTCAAAATCCGTTGCGTAGTTTTAAACAATTAAGCATACATAGAGACGGACAAACAGCGACAGCGACTTCGTTTTATACTATGTAATGATACACTACAATTAGAAATACAGTAGCATAGAAAATATACCTAGTTTGTATCATCGTGGTATAAACAAAAAAATATACGATGGCCTCGGTGGTCTACTGGTTCAGCACACCGTTGGTAGTTCGATTCCTCGCTCGGTACAAACATTTGTATTCATGAGTATGTTTGTTAGTTTTGCTCTGGGTGTTTTCTATGTATATTATGTATGAATTTCCAAAAAAAAGTATAACGGTTGTCTAACAGCAGTACCTATAACATAAACTCTGTTTAGCTTTAGACTAGATGGCGCTGTGCGAGCTGTCGCATGTCGTACCAGATGTTATGATTAGTATTATTATATGGATACTTCAACTTATTTCCGTTATTCCTCACATAGCTATCAGACTTTCTAAGGCATTAGATTAAATAATTATCAATCAAGGATAAGTATGTCATTATCCTTATTCAGTATTAATGGTCTCTATGTATTTTATTTTATCACAATTGTGCAAGGAAGTTCTGTTACAAACAAATATTATACACCCTTTTTCCCCATAAACTAGGTTAAAAAGGTATTAATGATGTATTTAATTTGTGAGCCCAATTTTATTGAAATCCATTCAACTGCCGTTAAAGAATTTTAAACCTACGAAGAAATAGTAATAAGATCCTATTTGGTTAGTAAGCTACAATAGTTTAAACACTCTGGTGTATTACATATGCCTTTTATCTAATTGAAGTTTTTTTTTGACAAAAGCAAGTTTTGTTTGAGAATAAAAATCTTTATACTAAAAACAAAAACGTTGTACCTCTTATTATAAAAACTGCGTGGATGGAGGAGTATGAAATTTCGCACACTTATAGTTTATACAGAGAAGGAAAGCAGAATGCCAATATTTTTTTTAATTATGCATAAAAATACAAAAAAAATCATTAAAAAACATTACACACAGTACCATGTATTTCACACACACGCATATATACTTTTTTGTTTATATAACTATCAACCCGCCCCGGCTATGAACAGGTGTAGTTGTATTATACATACACATCATTCTCTTGAATCACTCTATCTATTGCTAAAAACTGCATTAAAATTTGTTGCGTAGTTTAAACATTCTAAGCGACGACAACGGAAGCGACTTCATTTTATACTATGTAAATGAGTCTATGGTCAAATTGAGAATAGACTAATATTGTTTGTCTTTTATATTATTTGTCTATAATATAAGTTAATTATGGTGTTTTCCAACCTCTAGCGAGCACTAGTACATATTGAACTTATAAATCAAAACATGCAGACAGTGCAAGGTCGTGTATTAGTGCAGTGAAATGTTGTATTAATTATATATGAATATATAATTAAAGTTAAAATACAATCTCGATTACATGGAAACCGAAAACTTTTGCAAAACATATCATCGCATATCACACATACTATAACCTACGCACAAACTCATAAAACTCCCATTCTGTTATATTAATGCATTTTAAATTTAATAAATAGTTCAAACATATCTAAAAAACTAAACACCGTCTCCGTCCGTACGTCCGCTACATAGCCAATGTTCATTGTTGATAATGTAACTATGTATAGGTTTAAAAATAAAGGCTTTTTAAAAACTTGCAAGCATTTGATTTTATCACTTACAAACAAACATCTAAAATGAAATATATATATAATGTTAATATAACACTAATCCTAATTCTAATAATATTATAAATGCGAAAGTTTGTAAGTATGATTTTTTTGTTACTCTTTCACGCAAAAACTACTGAACGGATTCTGATGAAACTTTAGAGTAATATACTTAGCTTATACATCAGAATAACACATAGGCAACTTCTACAGTTGCGCGGGTCAGCTAGTATAAAATAAAATAAGAATGTACCTGTCTTTATATAGTTAAGTATAATAGTTTTAAAATATAAAACGTGTTGGCAATTAGCTATAAGTTTATAAACATGAAAACAACACTTATTAGGTACAATAGAAAAATATTCTAAGTATAAAAAAATAAATGTTAACATTTAAGTTTTAAGTAAAATTAAAGAAGTAAAAAACAAACTTTAAAAGTAAATGAAAAGAAAAATAGACATTGAATCTTTGCAGCTCAAAAGGCAAGTTCATAATGGGTTACCGCTTAACCGGTCAGAGGTCAAGGTAGGTCTTTGGGACCAGTGGCTGACATAATGACTCCATGCACATGATAGAACTGTTATGTCATGAGGTAATACTTTGTTTATCATTTAGGTCACATCATTATTGTGTATATTTGAAAATATAATCCAATCTCACGGTGAGCAGAGCTTGTGTTTTGATACTAGACAACTGATATAAATACTTATATATTTTTGTAAATACATATATATAGAAAAAACCCAGACTGATACTCATGAATTTGTTTGCACCGTGCGGGGAATCGAATCCGAGACCATCGGAAGTAAAGCGCTGTACTAAACCGCTAAGCCACAGAGACCATCTATATAAAAAATCCTTTATTATATAAAAATGAATTGTTGTTCGTTAATCTCTCTAAAACTCGAGAACGGCTGAACTGATTTGGCTAATTTTACTGATTTTGAAATATTCGTGGAAGTCCAGGGAAGGTTTAAACGGTGAAAAAGTATGAAGAAATTGCATGTAAAATAGTGAAAACAACAATTATATTTTCTCATACAAACGGTTGACACCTGTCAAACAAAGTTTTGAACGCACCCTGTGTTCAAAAATTTATTGTGTATCTAAACTTCAAAAAACCTTTGAAATGTTTAATATTGAGGCGGAGCGGAGTTTGCGGGGTTAGTTAGTTGTAAATAAACACGATGTAATAGCACGTGTCAACCACCGCACAGATAAAGATGTTCAACGTAAAAGAAATCCAGTAAATTATATTAATTACATACAGAAAGGTAAAAGTCATTAGTTAAGAATTCCCAAGCGTTTCATTCAGTCTTATCTTAAGGCTATCGCGATAAAAATAATTATTTGGTGACACGAAACTTAATTATATTGACGTCACTCGTTTGTTTTATGTTCTGTGATGTACAGACACATTAGCTGCTTGTGGAATTTTTTTTTAAATAGTCAGATAATGCAGGTGTTGCCAAAACATCGGTATAATCGGTCTTAAAACGATTTTATATCCTATGTTACTTATTAAAAAGTATTTTTTATATTTCTAATATATAACTTTGATCCCATTTCAATTTTTTTTATATGTACAGTGTAAGTAATTTTTAATTTTTTAATATTATAGATAACTTTGATCATATAATGTATATATTAGAAGTTTATTTATTTAAATAAACTTAAATTGTAGCTCTCTTGAATAAGTGGTAGGTACATTACATCTACCTATTTATGTACTTAATTTAAATACCTCCTTTGTTGTAATAAATATAGTATTACAGATCAATAATACATAGGTATGTATTGTATATACTATTATATAATAGACTTATCCATGTATGTACTATTAAAGAAATAAGCACTTAATTAAAAAATAATAGCCAAATCAGTAACATATAGTACCTAATTCATAATTTTCATTTCCCATGATTGAATCTATCTATTGTTTTTCTTAATTGACAAATTTGTATTTTTTTTAAATGCAGTTATTTCAAAACTTAAGTAACAGAGCTGGAACTAACTTGTAGAAACTGCCATAGAGAGTTTTTTGAAAATTTAAAAATAGAACTTCAATTATTTTATCTTTTCTCATTATATTTATACTTCATACATATTATATATTTTTAAGTATATAAAACGTCTTTATGTATTTTAATTTAAATAGACTCTGTTAATCCGTAATAAAATTTATAATAGTGAAAAATACAGGGCTTTATAATAAGTATAGACACTTAAAAAAATAATGGGCAAGTCACGGCACTGAGGGTAAAGTGTAGTAACTCAAAATTGTCATTTTCCACGATGAATTAATTTGCATAAAAGTGAGCCCCTTATCTTAACAGTCAGGCTGTTTATGAAAACTTTCTCTTATTGCAATCAGATTAGAAATCTCAAACTTTGAGAATTGTTAATTTATGTTTTTGAGGTTAATAGGGGGATGATAAATTAGTTTAATATTTTTATTTAATTATGAATTCTTTTAATTTTCTAGTAAATATTGATATGAGGTAATTATAGTTATAATTTGTTTCTTTGAATCATTTGTATTGAATGAACTAAAGTTTACTTGTATAGATTTTATTTTTGCTAATTTTCATCAAACAAAAATGTGTAATAAATACAAATGAAGATTTGTTTTAATTTAAGATCTTTGTTGTTGATATATGATCATTATTTAGTTAAATCTACACTAACATTAAAATTATTTCAATACTTACTAAATACTCTATATTTAAATAATTATTTATATTTATCACAAATAAAAACCGTTGCATTATCACTATTAGATTCTTATAAGAATTTCAATAATGTAAACTTTAATTTTTTAAATATATTCACACATAGGTTAATTACTACTTGAATATATCCGTTTGGTAATATTTAATAGAGCACAGTAGACACATAAAATTTAAAACTGAACGTATTTCAAAATATGTTTAATGCTTACTAGGTTGACCTAATTTAAAGTACTCCTAAATGACATATATAGGTAATGTAAAACCGGCAACGCACCTTATAAGTTACGGTTCAAAACCGAAATGCACTTATATACGGCATATAACACATGCTAACGACATATAAATATGAGCACATCACTTTCACTTCACACGATTACGTACCCTCACAAGTGAACTGGCCGTAGTGTTTCCCCGAGGACTTATCCCCGCAGACCACGCACTCCACATTCTGCCCCTTATCCGTAGCAGAGGAGCCGCTCTGCGTAGACGCGGCCTGACTCGCGGGAGTAGACGGAAGGAGCTCGTCTTCCCGCCAGCTGCCGCGGAAGCCGAGTTCGAGAGGCGGGAGGTCAGGGCCCCTCGGAGGGCAAAGCCCAGGGCCTCCGACCCCGCCGTAAACTAGCGCTCCGTGCGTGATGATGCCGGTTGCCGTCACAGGGCAGAAGACGCGCGACGCGCTTGTGTGTCAAGGGTCGCGGTTCAGTCGCGACTGAGCTCAGGTCGGGCCAGGGCGCGCCGCTCCGCCATTGGCCCGGTGGCCCGCAGGGGCAGGGAGCGAAGGCCCCGCCACCTCGACCGCGGCCCCCTCCCCGCGGACGGGGGTGAAAATCTTTCAGTGGCCAAGTACGGTTGGTAAGAAAATTTATACTAAACAGTTAAGTTTCGATCACATTATTTTATTGTCATTCTGTACTTACACTCTTTTGCTTGTATTATCTTTAGAGTGTATAGCAATAGAGCGACGCCGCGATATATATTTATTATTAATTTCAATAATAATAACAATTAACATTTGTTATTTATTTATAATCTTTAATATTTATTTTACATTATTATATCGATAACATTATTCATAGAGTAAATAAAACAGTTTTTAGAAATGGTATGTAAAAATAATATTGAAGATATTGGATAGCTTTTCTTCCAGTCGCTACCTGAAAATCCTACTTTGTATCAACTTTCCCACTGCCTCCATATTTCTGCTCGGCTGATAGGCACTCTATATACTGCGCTACCTACATTGTATGTCTACTACGTTTACTTGACGTACTTTTAATGTGAATATGAACGGGTATCTAAGAAGGAAATTATGTTAGCTAAAGTGCTCGTTCTTTTACAATATTTTAGTATGTTTTGAGTATTGTAGTTGCAAATCTTGATAACTATTTAATTTTGATTTAGTTTATATACCTAGTTAGATGTAACATATCTGCTTACTAGTTGTCAACAGTTTCAATTTATATTACTAAATATAAGAAAAGTTATAGATAGATATTTACATATGTATCTACTACTTTTCTTATTAAATACCAACCATATCTTGAAGATTCACACAAAAAGTAATATAGGTATAATACCTACCTACTTATATGATTTTTTATGTGACTCTCCAAGATTCGGTATTCAGTTTTTCGAAGTAATTAAAGGTATTTTATATTAATATTTATATTATAATATGTATTTACCTATACTTAGTATTGTAACTTAATATAATTATATCAATACCTGTATTTTCAACATCACATTCAACTAAAATACATAAACAAACATATCATAAACAAGAGTTATGAGTCAATAGAAATTTTTCATTTAAACGATAAAGTGCGTTGAAAGAACGTTTAAAAACGGCATTTTAAACGCAACGCAGTACGCACTACTTAGATCCAGATCAATCTAGATCAGTGTCGGTAGGCGGCGCGTGCGCAGGGGCGTGGCCACATCGGAGGGGGACGAGGGGGGCGACTCGCCGAGCACTTGTCAATGTGACGTCCGCACGGCGTGACGTGTGACGTGTCATAATAGTCTCCTTGGAAGATTGTTTTTAACACGACCAAAAAATGAATTTCTAGCTGTGATATGTCTTAGATAAACTTTTAGAGTGGTATACAATAAGATGTTATTTAGTTACTGAAACAATTTTTAAAAATATCAGTTTTTAATTAATTTGATTCTTCACATCGTTTGCAATGTTTATGACATTCTATTCGAACACTATTTTTATATATATTTGATTATACTGAACATAACCTACTAAGACAGTATTTATACACTAATTATATATTAAGTGTATAAAAATATTGATATATCTAAAATAGAAAAAAAAAATCAAAATATCAGTTACACTGCTTTACATTTCGTAAAGACGCACTATCATTCCAAGATAGATATTTAAATACTCGTAGGTAGATTATCAATGAACAGTCAAATATAATTAGATATTGACTATATAGCTTGTCTTTATTTAACTAAATATTGTGTCGAGGAATAATGCGTGTTGTAATTATGAAAAAAAAAGATAAATTTTATTGCACTTGATATCTTTATGACGCTGTGGAATGTTCGAGAAGAATGTGTGTAATTTAAAAAAGGAAGCGACACATATACACACTCTCTATACTCGATGTTCCATTTTCAAAATTATGCATTTTATTTTTAAGACATATCTGATGGCTATTTGCGGTTTCAAACATGTATGTAGGTGCATAAAATATTATTTAGCTTATTTTATTAATGTTGTACATCTATTTATATTATAAAATACTAGATTAAATAGAACATTATAGACATGACTAATTTATTCATGAGATTTAAAATCTAAAAATTTTTTTTTTTTAATTTTAATTCTGTAGTTTATAATACTATTTAAAATAAGTAGCTATGAACTGCGCCTTCATCTTTTTTTAATCAACAGATAGCCGTCTTTCCTCATGATATAATCTATATTTACGTTATTTTTTTAAGATCCGTTCAGCCAGCTTGTCCTGAAAATGTAACGATCAGAGAAATAGAATGTCATATTTTTTATTATATTATTAAGGATTGTAAATAAATGTGTTAAGAAAAATTGAATAATCTAACTTAACAATATTAAATAACATATTGGTATCAATATTGTTAGAATCTTACAAAGCACGTTTTAAAGAGAACGTAGTTATGTCATTATTATCTATTAATTAATGACACTTAACCTACTTATGAAGCCATGTTACATCTAAATTGTACCTACCTACTAATGTAGGTACTTTGCTATTGTAATTATCTACCAACATTACGGCTAGGAGGGGATTGTTTGAAATGGGGACTGACGATCTAACATCAGTATCGGACGGTACCATCTCAGATCGTCAGTCTAGCAATGTACTATGTCAGGTCGACCTCCACACGGTCACCCCTGGAAATCAACGGAGCAAATTCCATGTGAATTTGTGATGATAGGCCAGCTGACCTGATTTTATCTTTATACGATTCATTGTTTACTAGTGTCCTCCAGAATATACAATGGATAGCATTAAAACATTCCACATTCATATATTAAAAAAAAAAATACCAACATTTAATATATGTAATGCGTATTTGAGTCAATGAACAAACGTATTTATATGTACAGAGGCAAGTTACAAGGTACAGAACTCTCACCCCCGAAGGCAGAGGTGAAAGTGCGGGGGTGAAGCCTAGTCGAAGAGGTGAGGGGGTGCGGGGCGGGTCAGAGGTCGCGCCGCCCCCGACCCGCCCACCGCCGACGGGGTGGCGATATTTTTATAAGTTTATTTATAATTAACTTGTTTCAGTATTTAGCTACTGGCGTTTTCGGCCATTGCGACCACGTTTCATCTGATCTACCTATGATTTTTCGTTCACAGATTTCCGGCTATAATTAGTTAGTTACAGTAATTTAAAATGTTGCTGAATAAAGATAAGATTTGGATGGTTTATATGAATTACTTAATACAAAATTAAAATGTAAGTAGATATGGAATACGAAAATAAGCATTCAAATTCAAAATATCTTTATTCATGTAGGTCTATTAGTGACTCTTATGATATGTCAAATCTACCGTCAGTTCGGAATTATTTCAAGATTAGAAGAATTGACAAGAAAATCGAGCTAATTTTCTATTCAAATTTGGGAGAATAAAGTATATCACCAGCATATGCTATTGCAAAAGCAAAAAGTCTAATCAGTGCTCGTAACCTGAACAGACCAGTCCCCACAAGTAATCATCAAAATCGGTATGTTTGGTAAGGGTATTGCATATCCGAAATAACATATTTAATTATCCTCAACCTTAAATTTTTCGTTAGACTTGTATATGTTAGGCTTGATTAGGGCATTATGACCTTTATAGAAAAAAGATTGTTACGTCAGCAATTTATAAGTAATATATAATGTCTCAGAACACCTCACACAGAGTCATCTAGTGTTTTCATTATATTTAATACTTATATATAAAAACATCCCGACAAAATGTTTGTGCCGTGTGAGGATTCAAATCTGCGACCAACGGCTTCAAACCATCGAAGTTATTATATGTACTTATAAGTTAAAATTAAAGTTTTTATTATTAGAATAACAAACAAACTGACGAACGAACAAGCTAGATAATACTTGAATAGCATCGCTGGCACCTTATCATCGTTCGTTATCATTCTAGAGGACTAAGATGTCATGGTTACCTAGGTACCCTGCCTATAATTCTTCTGCAACATTTCACACTTCAAACAGAATCACTTACAAAGTTTGGCGGCTGAAGTAAGAAGTTTTTAAGCTATAGCTATTTAGTATATAATCTATTAAACCTAGATAGTTTATTTATTATACGGACAACGTACTTTGTCGTACAAATTAAGAGACAAGTTAAGTTAAGTTACCTGATTTTTGCTTCAAAGCTTCAAAGAAGTGTTTTTTACGGTTCACGGACAGGTAACATATTAAAATCAATATTTTACAGAACAAAGTGTTTAATAAATAACTCTGGACAATTAACACAGAGCAATCTAGTCCCACGGTAAGCATTGCTTGCGTTATGGATTCGAGACAACTGATATAGATACTTATATATTTTTTTAAATACATACATAATATACATAGAAAATACCCAGACCGATATAAACAATCATACTCATGAAAACAAATGTTTGTACCCTGCAAGGAACCGAATCTAGGACCATCGAAAGATACGCAGTGTTCTATACCGCTAGACCACCGAGGCCGAGAAATATAATATTTTTTTTTACAAATAAACTAAAATGAAAACCCTGAATAGTAATTTTTTTATTCTACCACTCATTCAGAAAGCAGATTCATCAGAAGAAGAAGGAGCAAGAAAGTTGCGTGTTGCGTTTGCTAATTAAAGCCATCTTTAATAGGTAGAGCAACTTATATAAATATTTTAATAGAAGTTATAGGTAGATTTTGAATTGAATTTTAAATCGTCAAAGTGACTTTTCATTTTACCCTGACGTCACAAGACTTGTGACATCATAATCAAGTGAAAATTTGAGCAAAGTCACCGACATATATAGGTATATTAGTTGTGCCTGCGGTTTCACTCGTATGAAATTTATAGGCTATATGTCATTCTGATGTATAAGCTATATCACTGTAAAGTTTCATCAAAATCCGTTAAATAGTTTTTGCGTGAAAAAGACAAACACCCATACTAACAAACTTTCGTGTTT